CACATGAGTCAGGCGGTGGTGGCGCACGCCTTTAATCCCAGCACTCGGGAGGCAGAGCCAGGTGGATCTCTGTGAGTTTGAGGACAGCCTGATCTGCAGAGCGAGATCCAGGACAGGCACCAAAACTACACAGAGAAACCCTATCTTAAAAAGACACACATGAGGCTGACATAGGCTCACAGGCTTTTGCTTCATTTTCCTTCTTAAATTCCCTTTGCTGAACACAGGCTGGGAATGGCAGGAGCAAGTGCCTTATCCTTCTCCTAGGGAGGCAGAGCTTAGTCTCCACCCTTAATACCATCCACACTGAGGTTTTCACAATGTACCCTTTGGGAAATTTTCCTTTTATTCCTGGTGTGTGTGTGTGTGTGTGTGTGTGTGTGTGTGTGTGTGTGTGTGTGTGTGTGTGTGTGTGTTGCTGGCTGTGACACATATATGGTGGTGACCCTTGACAGGAGTCAGTTCTCTTCTTCCACTATGTAGGTCCCAGGGATTGAACTCAGGTCTTCAGGTTCAACAACAGGAGCCTTTACCCGCTAAGCCATCCTGCTGGCCTGTGTTCTTGGAGTTTCAAGTGTGAAGTAACTTGCCATTTTGGTATAAACCCCACTCAGCCTTGCTGTCAAGTCTCTTTATATATCAGGGGTTTCACGTGCCTTGTTTTGGGTGAAGGTTTTTCTGTCTTTCATCATGGAGATACTGGTATATATTTTTCTTGTGACATCTGTCTGCTTTTTTGTATCAAGATCATACAATATTAGACTTAAGAAAGAACAGGAATACTATTTCTTTAACTTTTTGGTAAGAGTTTAAGAAGAATTGATACTGTTGGTTTTGTAAGGGCTTGTGGAGCTCACCAGTGAAGCTGTCTAGACCTGGGCTTTCTTTGTGGGTAGCTTTTAGATACTGATTTAATACTTTAGGAGGATATTCATTTCTATTTCTTTTTGAGTCATTTTTTCCAATTTTCATTTATTTCCTCTACATTATCTGCCCTGTTGGCATGGGGAGAAGGAGCCCTTCTTCATATTCCTTATGGTCTTTTTATTTTTGTAAGGCCAGTTATTTTCTCTCCCATTTTATTTCTGATTTTAGTAATTTGAGTGTTTCCACCATTTGTATAGCTATCGTAGCTGAAGTTAAATTGACGTTTTTTAATTTTAAATGGACCAACTTTGAAGATTTTTTTTTTGATTTTCCATTCTTTATTCATTTCCACCATAAATCTGAGGGCCTCCCGCCCCTGACTGTCACATTGCTAGAATTCACACAGTTCTTCACATCAACACTGAGATGCCAATGGACACAAACTTCTTGTTTTTCTTACATTCTCTCCTTTCCATGTGGCCCTGCCTTGGGACCAGCGATCTTCCATCCATTTGCCATCTGGCCAACCCCAGTCCTCCATGATATGTTCCTTGGGCTCCAGACAGAGTCCTGTGCCCCAGTGGATCCTCCTATTTCCTGCAGCTGTGCCAGCATATGCTGTGTGGGCCATACTGAATCCACTCTTGTGCTTTGTGGCCCCAGACTGCTCAAGGGTCCTTTTTGGGTAAACGCCAAGTTAGAAGTGTCTATGGGGTATTTTGTTGATATGGAGTAGATAAATGGTTTTTAGGTGGAACACTATTGTTTACAGCTCAGGTTGGAGCCCTTACATTTGAAGCTGGGGATGGAGTTATTGCCTCAGACCTCTCTCCCATTGAACTTCACACCCCTTGAGTACCCGACTCTTTCCAGGTTCATGCTTCTGTACTGCAGGAGGAAAACAGCTCCTCACAGCCCCCCCTTTATTCAGCTCCTCCGGACCTCTCTCCTTCATCAAGCTCATGCTTGTACTTTAATGAAGAATTGTGGAATTCTCTATTTCCGTCTGAGTTCCACCAGATAGGCAAGAGCCTGTATCAGATCCTTGCAGACACAGTAGCTTCCTGGGCTCTCATGGCAGGTATTTCTTTAGACAGATATGCTTAGGTAGCTATGGGTGCTCGTATGTGCAGTATTGCTGCTTCTGAGGCTGCTGAATTATGGAGCAGCGCAACACAGGACACCACATATTAGCTCACTCTTCAAACTCCTGTGGTGTGGGCCGAGGACTCTTTTGGCAACATTAAGGCTCAGATCTAATGGTATGTTACCCTATAGATGGGTCTTTCCATTCAAGCTAGAGCTAAACAGCTATAATACTAGACCAAAGTCAGTGAGGACACAGCCTTCCCAGCAGTCACAGCCTCCCACACTGAGGCTGCAAAGGGACATTTCAAATCAGATTCCAGATGCCACTGATTTTGTTTTTCAGTCTGAATTGCAGGGCAATTTGTTATAATGCTGCATGCCTAGATTGGTCTTAATTATCTCATGAACATCTAATAGACTTAATCAAACTCCTGAACAGACTTCCATTAATTAATGGCCTGGCATCTTCCTGTTTTCTCTTTTAGCATCGATGTTTAGTCAGTTGTTTGGTATGTTCCAGTGTATGCCACAGAAACTGACAACTTAACTGAATCGGTTGTTTGGCATTTTCCAGCACATTCCAGAATACTGAAAACTTAGTCACTTTGTAAACAAATGTGCCGGACAAAGTCAAAAGGTAGATCTGCTGTTCTCTGGTACAAAGCCATTTCCTGCCTATATTACCTTCAGTTAATAGCTTCTACTGGATTTGGAAATTATTCTGGTCAGCAATACTTGCTATTGTTCCTTAGTTACTCAAAAACTGAGAAAGTGGAAAGTTAGCATGCTGTTGGCCTGCACAACAATAGGCTGCCGGCTGTGTACGCCCATGTCTAATGTCAGTTTTAGTTTTAAAAATGTGGCTGAATTTTCCGTGTTTTTGTGTTGATGTGCCGTTCTTTGTCTGAGAAGGGATGGAAGGAAGGTATTTGATAGTTTGTAAATGAAGAAAGTACATTTAAAAATATTTTATTTTTGAGTACATGTTTTTGATTCTCTGTGTGTGTGTGTCTATGTGTTGGTATGTGCATGTGATTACAGGTGTCCATGGAGTAAAGAAGAGGGTGTCAGGGCACCTGGAGTTGGAGTTACAGGCAGTTGTGAGCTGCTAGACTTAGGTGCTGAGAACCTTGCGCCCTTTGCAAGAGCAGAATGTGCTTTTAACCACCAAGCCATTTCTCTAGCTCCAAAGAAAGTACATTTGCACACCTTTTATACTAGTGGGTAATGCTTGCTGGGAAGGAAAAGTTCACTGGATGCAATCTTAGTAATAATACATACCTTGTAGTACTGTACTCATAATGCCAATTACTTATGATTTTTAAAACATAAAGCATATACTTGTTTTAGATTTGATGACTAAAACATTCAGACTTGTTAGTTAATGTTTAAGTCTTCCTACCCAGAAGACACAGTCTATACTGTGAGTTGAGTGATACCCAAGACAAGGTGGCCAAGCCTGCCTATGGCAGCCTGTGGATGTCCATGATGTCCCTCCATGGTGTATGGTGTTGGGGACATAGCATTCCTGGTCCCTTCTTTCCAGTGTGGTCACTATTCAACAGTGGTAATGACATCAACTTGTCTAAGAGGTAGAGGATTTCACGGACTGATAGAAACACTAATAATATTCAACACTACATGAAGAGAGCTTTCCTTTTGCCTATTTATTCCTCTCAGAATTTGGAAAGGAAGTAGACCGGGTGTGTGTGTGTATGTGTGTGTGTGTGTGTGTGTGATGTATGCATTGTGTACATATTTGTGCACACATTCGTTAGAGTGTACGTGCATATGTGTGCATACATGTGGTGACTGGAGTTTGACCCTGGGCATCTTTCTCTTCCACTTTCCATCTCATTTACTTATATTTTTTAGTTTATTCTTTGAGAACTTCATACATGCATACAATTCATCTCAATCATGTGTCTCCCCCACCCCAACTCCTCTGAATCCTGCCTTATCCCCTGTTTCCAATTTCTTGTCCACTTTATTTTCAATCTGTTGAGTCCAATCTTTGCTATGCATACACACATGAATGTGGGCCGTCAACTGGAGCATGGCCAACTCTCTCTCTCTCTCTCTCTCTCTCTCTCTCTCTCTCTCTCTCTCTCTCTCTCTTTTCCTCTCTATCTCTCTCTCCCTTTCTCTCTTCCTCTGTCTGTCTCTCTGTCTCTTTTTTCCCTCTCCATCTCTCTCCTCTCTCTGTCTCTCTTCCTCTCTGTCTCTCTTTCTGTCTCTCTCTGCCTCTCTCTCTTCCTCTCTATCTCTCTGTCTTTCTGTCTCTCTCTTTCCCTCTCTCTCTTCCTCTCTGTCTCTCTTCTCTCTCTGTCTCTGTTTCTGTCTCTCTTCCTCTCTGTCTCTGTCTCTCTCTCGTGTTGACAGTGTCTCATTGAACCTGGAGCTCACACATTCAGAAGGGCTAGCTGGTCAGGGAGCTTCACTGGTCTGCCTGTCCCCACCCCACCCCCATCCAGGGCCGGAGTCCCAGACCTATGCCACTAGGCCTGATGTTGGCATGGGGACTGGGGATCTGAATTCAGGTGCTCACGTGTGAGCAGCAAGTGCCTCACACACCAAGCCGTCTCCCCAGTCCCACCACACCTCGTTCTTAGGCCTAGCATGCTGTGCTTGCAGTTCTCCTGGTGCAGCTGTGAGGACTTTGTACACCGAGGCCCATGGCCCGTGTGTCAGGCACTCATCCCCCATGGTCTGCCTTCATCTCACCTGTCTTAGGCCGACTCTCTCTTCTTCCTGGGCAAAAGGCCTATGTGTTAGCAAACATGCTCAAAGTCAAGGTCAATACAGAAGAATAGACTGACTCTAGTTAGCTACAAAGTGGATTGACTGCCCTACGGGAAACTGAGGACTAGTCAAGGGAGTTTGGGTTTTGAATTGTGGAAGTAGATAAATGGAATCTGGAATGGTTTTCAGGTGGGGATTGTGAACATAAATATCACCACCTGATGTTCTTTAGCAAAATCAGGCACAGCCATGCTTTGGGGATTTTCAAATTAACTCTCTCTTAATGTCTGCTTCTTTGCTAGGTACCTCCTGGTCAGTGGCTTGGAGTTCTGAAGCAACATGCCGGAACAGAGCAATGACTACCGGGTGGCGGTGTTTGGGGCAGGTGGTGTCGGCAAGAGCTCCCTCGTTCTGAGGTTTGTGAAAGGGACCTTCCGGGAGAGCTACATTCCAACTGTGGAAGACACCTACCGGCAGGTGATCAGCTGCGACAAGAGCATATGCACACTGCAGATCACCGATACTACTGGGAGTCACCAGTTCCCTGCCATGCAGCGGCTGTCCATCTCCAAGGGTCATGCCTTCATCCTGGTGTTCTCGGTGACGAGCCGGCAGTCGCTGGAGGAGCTGAGGCCCATCTATGAGCTGATCTTTGAGATCAAGGGGGGTGTGGAGGGCATCCCCATCATGCTGGTGGGGAACAAGTGTGATGAGAGCCCCAACCGTGAGGTGCAGAGCAGCGAGGCGGAGGCCCTGGCACGCACGTGGAAGTGTGCTTTCATGGAGACGTCGGCCAAGCTCAACCACAACGTCAAGGAACTCTTCCAGGAACTGCTCAACCTGGAGAAGCGCAGGACCGTGAGCCTCCAGATCGATGGCAAGAAGAGCAAGCAGCAGAAGAGGAAGGAGAAACTCAAGGGCAAGTGTGTGGTCATGTGAGAGGCTTTCATTAGAAGGAGTCGCTGCCCTTAGGGCCTCTCTCTTCCTCCCCTCTGTGAGCCCCACCGTGTCAGGGCAGCATGTCTGATGCCCATGTGTTAAACATTGCATTTGGCTGTGACACACCCTGCCATGTCCTCAGGAGGCATTCCATACACCCCACCAGCCCACCCCTCAGGAGTTTCAGAATCTGCGATGCTCCCAAGCATCCCCAGAACCCGAGGCCAGTCCTAAGTGGGCTTTAGCCACTTGAAGGCGAGGGGACTCAGAGCTGTGGACACAGGAGAAACTGAGAGTACTGTGTAATGCATGTGTGTGTGATAGCAGGTTAGCCCATAGCTGCAGGTACCATCCCACACCAGGAAAACTTAGTTCAGAAGCCACTAACCTCTTTGGGGGAGGAGCAGGCAGTCAAAGGACCCTGGTGGATCCTGTTATTGCATTTTTAGTGGGATTAAAGATAAAATACCATAGCCCCTCCAAACGATGCTCATGCTGTTCCTCCTGGCACACACTGAGGAGATGCTCTCACTTCCTCAGAGCCTTCTTACCTGTGCTGTGTCTGCCTGTTAGGAGTGTACACTTCACATGCAGTACGAGGCCGTCTGTGGCATGATGTTGTGTTAGCCCTTCTCCAGTCTTTGAGTCAGGACGTTGTGACATCATGCAAACATCGCAATAACGCCCGTGTGTGTGTGTGTGTGTGTGTGTGTGTGTGTGTGTGTGTGTGTGATACTTTGAGGGTCCTAGAAACGTGAACTTTCTTTTGACCTCCGAGGGTTGCCACTTCTCCCAGCCCTCAGATTTTTAAATAAAAGTGAATAAAGTAGGCATTTTTTAGACTCCCACCTTCCCCTCCCCTAAGATGGTTTTCTTGTCTTAAATAACTCCATGTGTACCCAGCTGCGAAACAGCCAACCAAGAGCATCTAATAACCAGAAGCACACCCATTTTTCTAAACGACACGAGCGTGCAGATGCTACCCGCTGCACCTTAATGAAATACTTCGAAACAGACGTCATTCACTGTGTTTTTAACAATTTATCTATTTGGGGAGTAGATTGCTAGAAAATGCATTTAATCAATAGTAAATTTTTTTCCTCGTCCCTTGCTAACTGTCCTTAAGTTCCTCAGTGCAGTGAGCACCCTAGAACCAATACTTCCCAATGACTGTGTGTGTACCCTGGGTTCTTCAGAACACATCAGCCACTGCTTGAGGCATCGGAGGGAGGCCACGGCAGCTGCAGATAGGCTGCTCTCTCTTTTCTGGGCACAGTGCTCTCAGCTTAGTCCAATTTGCCTGCCACCCTGGAGTCTGGCTGGCCTTTGATTCTTGAAAATTCCTACTCCCACAGCCAATGAGAAGGAGCTCCTGCTTCACCTGCTAGGACAAACAAACCCATGCTGGCCTTGGGTGCTAGCTTGACCATTTCCTTAGCCATCTGACCGCTGCCCAGTCAGCAGGCAGAGGAAGCTGCAGCACTGTGAGGTCCTATGCCGGGGCCTATGGCCACTGTGTGTAGCTCCCAATGCCGGTGTGTTGTGGTAGGCCTCTTGTTCCGTCTATGCCTCCAGAGCACACTGTGTTCAGACACCTTTGTTTCTTTCAGACCTCTATAATGCAGTCTCTTTGTCTGGCCTGGCCCACTGTGCTCGGTCAATCATAACTCACCTTGGTGATATGCTGAGGGTTGGGAAAGTCCCTCAGAAAACCGTATGGCTCAGTGATCTTACTATTTCTGTAGACTTCTAGAAAAAAAATCCTTGCAGACCTGGGCAAGCAGCTGCACTGAGAAATGAGGAAGCCCAGGAATCAGCCATGAGCTCGGAGCACTTGTGCCCATTCCAGGCCCCCTCTGAGCCTCTTCTATTGGCTCTTTACATTCCCACAAGCCATTGCCTATCACAGGAAGATCAAGCTGTGGAGTGTTCTGGAATGTCTTTAATTTGTTGTTCTATTTCTTTCTATTTCTGTTCTCAGAGAAATTGTATCACCTTGCCATTGAGGTGTGGGATTAGTGAAGGAAAAACCATGGCTCCATGGCTGACATGGGATATATATATATATTTATGGTGATCCCTTCACAGTTAGGAAAATCCTGTCTTTCCCACTGATGGTAACCAGTTTATACAGGACGTTGCTACAAGCTTCCCTACTCCCAGTGACCAAATGTCAGGGTTCTTTCTGCTCTTTCTGTCAGTTTCCGCATTCCTAAGTATTTCAGTCTTCATCGACATGAGACTCTCGTGGTTATCCATTATAAGTCTTTGTTCCTTTCTGTTCTGCCTGTGAGTTTAGAGGGTGGGAGGTCAGTAAGGCCTCCCTCTGGGGCTTCATTCCAACACTATTTTCTAGAGATTGAGCTGAGCATTGGGTGGCTATCCCAACATCACCTTTTGAAAACTCCCCTCTGCCTCAGGAGCTGAGGATGCAGTACTGGGCCAATGGCTTTCAGCTTTGCTTTGGTCCCATTCCAAGTCACAAAGCTGAGGTTCTTGGTAACATCCCACGTTGCACACGGGACTGGAAACTTCTGACCCAGCCCCAGCTCATGATAAAACTTGAAATATTGCTTTGAAGATGGCACTCTGGGGTTAAGCACGGGACTCCATGAGTTCCCTAGCCCCTACCAGTCCCCTCTCCATTCAGTGACAAGCCATGGGCATGCATCCAATGCATCTAGTCCAACAAAGAGCAATATCCAATTGTCCACTAGATCTAAAATTATATATATTATGTAATTTATCTTCCTGCACTTTTGAAGTATAAAGTAGTAAATTGTATATATCTATCTCTATATATCCATAAGCTAGTATATCTGTTTCACTATTTATAATATTTGAGAACTGCTCATTCTTTGTAGAACAAAAAAAGTATTAAATATTTTAAAATTGCGCTGTGATATTCCTCCCTGCCCCAAGTTTGTAAAATGTTGTTCCTACACAAGCCGTCTGGAAATACCATAGCCAAGGGGGCATGTGGAACTCCTACAAGCCACATCCTGGGATTCAGTAGACCCCAAAGACCTTGTGTCAATCAAATACCTGCAGAGACTGATCATTGGCATGTGGGATGCTGGCACATGCTCCCACATCAGGCACTTGCTATTCCAGTTCTGTACTTGATTATGTCTGTCATATTCTATGGTTATGAAGATCACCTCACACAAGGTCCTAGCTGCAGAGATGGACTCAACCCATGGAACCAGTTACAATAAAGCTCAGTAATGACACTCTGTCTGGAAAGAGGTTTGGGTTTTTATTTTGTGTATGTGTATGTGCATGTGTGTGTGTGGGGTGGCTATGGAGGTCAGAAGCCAAGCCCGGGTGTTGTCTCTGGAGCCAACTACCTTGTTTACTGGGACAATGCCTATTACTGGAACCTGGCGATTGTCAATTGCACTAGCTGGCTAAGGAGCCCCGAGGATCAGCCTGTCTCCACCTCTCTATTACTCAGCTTTTTAAAAAACAAAACAAAAACCACAGGTTCTGGGTTCAGATTCAGGGTCTCATGTTTGCACAGCACCCATATTAACAAGTAAACTCTCCCTTCTGCCTCACGATCTCTTTTTTTTTTTTTTTAAACAGAATGAATGTAAGTTAATATTTTCAAGTTTAAATAGATGAGTTCCAAATGGGAGGGAATGATCAAGCTTTTTTTTTTTTTTTTTTTAATTTTAGCCGAGAGACACTTAAGCCACACACACTGTGATGTAGAGGGCTAGGAGATCAGTTTCCAGGTGTATTTCTGTGTTCCACCATGCACACCTGGGCTTTATGGGGGTGTCTGAGGATCTGAACTTGGGTCTTTGCGCTTTACTGACTGAACCTTCTGCTCAGCTCCTTGCTTTCGCTTTTTGAGGGTTAATCTGGCTGGCATGGTGTGGACCAGCTGCTCCGCCAGCTGCAGACCTTGGAGGGTTGCAGGCTCTAAGCACATCTTGGCTAGAAACAGAAGCCTGCCTGGATGTTTCCTAGGCCGTTTCCCTCATTGTTTCTGGCCCCGCGTGGAAATGAAGCAGATGCCCCAGGCAAGGACAGGGGAGGGGGTTGGGGGTTGGGGGAAAATTTCTTTTTCAATTCTGCACACCCCCTCCCTTCAGGCATTTAAATAAGGACAAACCCCCTAGTATTTGTTCCTGGGCTTGGTTCCTGCCCCCTCCTCCTCCTTCTTACTCCACAGACTGTGAAATAAAACCCATTTTAAAAAAATCAGGAAACAGACAGGAAATGACAGTCCTGACTCTGCCCCTGACTGAGTGACAATGGCTAGTTGACACTTTCCGTGGTTCTGCAGAATGGGGCTAACCAGAACCTGCAAGAGGGGTGGGCATGAGGTTCCTTAAATGACATCAACGGAGCTCTGGGTGCTGGCTTGCCGCATACCAGCCTTCAGTGGAAGCAAGCGAAGCCCTGCTGAGGACTACATGCTATTGGAATGTCTGGAGTGCAAAATTTGACCTGTGCACATAGAAAACCACAGACACTTTACCATTGTGAAGTCCTTGGAACAGCTTTCTGGCCATGCTGACTGCACACCACTCCCTTCAATTCCTGTCTGCTTTCCCTACCCATCACATAGTTATGGCTACTCTATTCAGTTCTTCCTATTTATTGAGGGAACCAATGTGAGCAGGTCCCTCGATTCTCCATAGTGAAAGGATATGCTGGCTGCTGCTTACAAGACTTCCCTGAGCAGATGAAGTGCTACAAAGGTCTTGAGACTCAGGAACATCCCACTGCAGCAGCAGCAAGAGATGTTCTTGCGGCCTTAATTAGAAGACTATATATATATATATATATATATATATATATATATATATATATCAGCACGTGTTCCCAGATGACAAGATACTGTTTTCACACCAGTCATCTCCAGACACCATTGGTGACTTAATCAGAGAAAAATTGGGTTCACAAATCAAGAATGATTTGAGATACACATACATATGTATACATACATACATGGAATGTTTTAGTGGAAAAGTTTTACTGGCTAGAGCTTAATTAAGCTAAGCAGGGAATTAAATTACCCAGAACACTAAAAGAATTGAAGACTCCTCTTAATTGACATTTTTTTTTTCTAATCACCTTTGAGTAAACGAGCTGGGCAGTGTCTTTGGAGCAGGGCCGTTGCTTTCTGTTGGAGGCTGTGCAGCCTTTACAGGTGGAGAGAGCTGTGATTGGGGCGGACTGATTTGCCAGTCCCTCAGCCATGGTTGGAAATTAGGAGTCATCGCTTTGGGTTGAATGAGGCCCACAAAACTTACACGACTTAGCACTGTGATATCCCAGAGTGAGCCCTCCGAATGACCATTCTCTGGAGAAAGCTGCTCCAGGCGGAAGGAAGCTGGAGATGGTCCCTGCTGGTCATGCACCCCAGAGTGAGCCCTCCGAATGACCATTCTCTAGAGAAAGTTGTTCCAGGTGGAAGGAAGCTGGAGATGGTCCCTGCTGGTCATGCACCCCAGAGTGAGCCCTCCGAATGACCATTCTCTGGAGAAAGCTGCTCCAGGTGGAAGGAAGCTGGAGATGGCCCCTGCCGGTCACACACCAGCCAAGCCCAAGCCTTCCTTTCCTTTTCTGTCTGCAAGACAGGCTGGGCTTTCCACTAATCAATGAGGACTCATCTGGAACACGTGGTCTGGGATTGCTCTGCTGGGATCTTTCTTTTTTAGGTCACATTTTTACTGCTTCTTTCCACACTCCCAATCCAGGCTGCCTGCTTCCATTCACACATAGCCCGAAATAGCTACTCTCAAGAAGGGCTAAATATAGGAAGCTTGAGACTGCCATTTACCTTCCCATTAAAGAAGCCTTCATTCTGAGTTCTCTATGGAGAGGGTGTGTGGTGGGCTCCTGCTCCCAGTGCCGGGGAGACCACTCGATTTAAAAAAGTCTCTCGATGCAGGTGCTAGTTCAGCCAGGACCAGCGGACGTAGCTGAGGGATGGAGACTTCCTGGAGGTCCGTTCCCCTCCATCATCATCCACAGAGGCTGTGATGGGCTATGAGTGCCATCCACCAGAAAGCCCATGCTAGGTTTGTGTAGCAGAGATCTCCAAGATAAAGGCTGGAGTGTGATTTTCTAGTTGGGTTATGAAGGGTTCCTTGATGGCAGCCCAGGGGTATTAGGGATTTCTCTGTGCTTTTCCAGCTTGGTTACAGGTAATGGTAATCAGAATAGACAGCCCACAGACAGAAGCCAATGATGAAGAACGAATGCCAACCAGGTCAGTATTCCATACGGGAGCCTTCTAAAATCCCTGGGCAATAGTCTGCCTTTATACTCATTGCCTGACATTAACATGGTCACCTCATCTTCTGGGAAAGGACATCCCTTGTAGAACTCCAATGTTAAAATAAATTGCTATTCTGGAAGGGTAAGGATGGGAGACATGGCTGACTGTCCACTCAGCCCCGTCTGAGTGTGTCTGTGAGAATGCTTTTTGGAATATACAGAGCAAATTCTAGGATGGCCAGGAAAATACAGAGAAACTCTGTCTCAAAGCACACCCATACCCACACACACACCACCACCACCACCACCATCACCATCATCATCACCATCATCAATCATTGTCATCATCATCATCACAACTGGAAACTCAAATTGGTTTTTCTGTTAGACTATACCCACCTGGAATTCACAATCTTAACAAAGAAGAGTGAAGAGTCTTTGAAGAGTAGGATACAGGACACCATAGACTGTGAGAGTAAGAGACAGTTCCCCACATGGCGTGACAAGGGTGGTCACATGGTGTGGCAAGGGTGGTCACATGGCGTGACAAGGGTGGTCACATGGTGTGGCAAGGGTGGTCACATGGTGTGGCAAGGGTGGTCACATGGCGTGGCAAGGGTGGTCACATGGCGTGGCAAGGGTGGTCACATGGCGTGGCAAGGGTGGTCACATGGCGTGACAAGGGTGGTCACATGGCGTGACAAGGGTGGTCACATGGCGTGACAAGGGTGGTCACATGGCGTGACAAGGGTGGTCACATGGCGTGGCAAGGGTGGTCACATGGCGTGGCAAGGGTGGTCACATGGTGTGGCAAGGGTGGTGCCTGCACACCAGTCCCTCCTTTCATCATGGTGCATTGCATAGACATTTGGTTTCAGTTATTTTCAATTCCATGAAATATCCATTTGCTGTGGATTTAGAGAAGCACAGAAGGTCAAAGTCTCATTTTGTTGAGTAAGATCCTGGAGGCAAAAGGATCCAGCAGGTCAAGGGAAAGCAGTTTAGCTCCTTGTTAATGAAAAGGAGGGGCAAGGTAGGGTTGTAGCTCAGTGAATAGGGTGTTTTCCTAGCATTAAAAACCCTGCATCGGGCGGTGGTGGCGCACGCCTTTAATCCCAGCACTTGGGAGGCAGAGCCAGGCGGATCTCTGTGAGTTCGAGGCCA